CAGCAATTTATGTTCATTCATGCTACACAACTCTCGTGATATGCTCCCAGAGAACAGAAAAACGCATAACGAAGTACATTACTAACGAACGGAAGAATTAAATATTTCTCGGCCTTTTCATGTTGTTTCTGTAGTCCAATCTACAAACGTTCGTATTAAACGAGCATGACGGTACGAAGGCATGGAATTGGGTTTTGCAGCATGTTGTGACACATGTGCCACTCCAGGTCACCTTTAATACATGACATCGGAATCCACACTGAGCTTGATCTATGATTATGTACCTAATCAACGGAGAATAGGAGCTAAGCTCCGGCTTCATTATTAATGTGGCTTCAAAGACGAGAAAGCAGCACGATTCGCGAGTAATCGAGCGCCCGTTCTCTCTCTCTATTTCGTTGAACTGCTTGTGCCCTGAGATGCCACTTCAATTTCTTGTTCTGCCATTGTGCTTCGTTCGCTGTTCCGTGAGCTCAAGTTTGGTCGACACGTGGCGTCGTTGCGGCGCCATTGGTGTCGTGTTTCCCGTGTCTTTTCTTATACACAGTATTCTGCGAATAAATGCCTCTGCGTAGCCGCTGGTGCCGAGGTCGCGGATTACGTTTTTCCTTGTTTCCTTCCGCAGCTGTGGTGATAATTGGTGGTTAGATTATCGGTTATTTCTTTACTCATTTTAGTTTTTTTGTTTAGCTAGTTTTCTGTATTCTTGCCCAAGAAAGGTGATGCAGATTTTTTTTTTCTCGTGGGAATGACCTTAGGTATCTGCGTACATGGTTGCAGCTCCACATTTCCAAGTTGTACGACTCGGAGTGCCCTGCCGACGGCCCCTATTTTATTTCTGCTCTAGCAGCCATGACCGTCACGTTCTTCCAAACCTTCGCCTCCTACCTACTTCTAAACTATTTTCTCCACTCTCCCATTTCCCTTCAAGGGACTAAGCCGTGGTCTCGCAAGGAAAGATGGTGTCTTTTTCTTTTTCTTCAGCCACACATTCATCCATTCAGGGGAAGCTTGCATGCAGTAACTGGTTTGGAAAGCAGGTAAGGTTCGCGGAAAGTCACCTCACCTACCCTGATTTGTTCCGGGTCAACGCTCTCGAGGTGCGCCAAAAGAGGCCACAACACAAAAGTCATACTTCGAATTCTTTCGGGCTGTTGGCTCCCCTTGTCAAAAACTCTTTGGACACGCCTGACTGACTGACGGCCTAGGAAGAGCTGTCGGAAATCAAGGCAGCTTGATTCGTTCGACGTGCCACGAGACGCGCTGAATAATTAGCCGAGAGGTTGGGATCCGTCGTCAGGTATGTTTCCCACACTCTGTGGTGCTTTCAAGTCTTCCACTCCCCCAGGCCCTAGCGCTGCAGACCCTATTCTGCACGTGTGATGCAACGTTATTGCACTGTGCTGCGTTGGGCGTATTATTGCACTATGACCTACGTGTTGTTTCTCTCTCGCCGTGTGACGAACTGAACATGCATCCTTTCTATTTCCTGGGTAGAAAAGAAGGCAGTGTTTGACTTTCTCTCTCTTTCTCCTTCTCGTTTTTTTTATCTTTATTCGCTGCGCCGTGCTCCCTGCTGGGCTGCAGAAATTAGGCGCCTTCTTCTAACCACTACCCCCACCATTTTGGGGACGGAGATGAAGACGACAATTTCTTTGGACTGCCCTGGACTGAATGGACATGCAGTCTGTCCATTTACAGTGATCTGCAAGGCCGCTTTCCTGTAAGGTTTATTTTCTAGCCAAAAACTATCGTTCACAGACTGCTTTTCTCCCTCATTGTGTCTTTACCTCTTCGAATTCCAGCGAATGCACGCGAGCACGCGAGTACAACAAAATGTCACCTCTCCAAATTCCAGCAAAGGCACGCGAGCACAACAAGATCTCAAAAAGATGAATGGCAAAAACAAAATGAGCAAGAAAAGCAGTCTGTGAACGAGAGTTTATGGTTGGAAAACTAACCCTACAGAAAAGCTGCCTTGCAGATTATTGCAAACTGTCTATTGTTTTCTCCTGCAGAGAATTTTAGGAAGACCACGGCTTAAAACGCGAGCACCAAGACGCTCTGAACCAGCTCTCAGAAGCTCTCATCAAGCTTCCATGATGCTACCTTTAGTGTGTAAATAGTGAACATAAACGTTGCTCTTATCAGCCCCGGCTACTCTGCGTGACTTCTACCTGACACTTGGCTAGCTCCTTCGAACACATCACGAGCAAGCGGAAGGGCACTGAGTTGTAAAGATGAAAATGTGCAACATCACGTCGCTTTTATTACGTGACATATTCGTTCTCCGCCGCATTCGCCCGATCGGGTCCACATCTAACTTTCCAGTTTTATAGCGACGACACACCGTTGATTGCGGTCACGTCATTGAATGTCACATAAACAGCGGTTGCATTATTTATTTGCAAATTACTTCTTCATAAAGTATGGTGAAGTAATTTGTTATTTGGTCACCTCAGGAGCCTTCTAACTTGACTTATTTTTTATCAAGACTTGAATATAATGTTAAGTTTTATTTGGTTGACTCTGAGCATTACCTTCGCAACAGAAGTACATCTGTCAGCGACAATCATTCTTAACCTCTCCCAGTGCCAGTAGGTCCGTTCAAGTTACGTCATGAAAACCAGTTTGCTGAACTATGTCATATATGACATGTCGCTCAAATGTCGGTCTCTGGATTTTTGATGAATCCAGCCGTCTTTTGTAAATTGTCTACTGGCAAGTTTTTAAATTTTCTTTTGTTTTTTTTAAATTTGGTGGTCTCAGACAAGCTTATTACGCCTCTTCTCACCACTGGATAGCCGTTATTACGCGCGGCGCCTGGGCCAACGGGGGAGGGCCGCGTTCTTTGTTCATCAAACAAGTCACCGAAGGGCAGCCAGCCTGCTGTCCGCCGTGTACTGTCCATCTTAGCCGGGAAGTAAGGTGGCATTCCGACACCATAAGACGTTCGACGAGGCGACCACAATGGTTTCTTGGTGTCACAGGTGCAGTGTGGTGGCCACGCCCCAATCAAAGACCTTGACTTGAGCGAGTGTGAGCGGCACCGTCAGAAATGGCGTGTGTGTCTCGTGATTCAACAGCGCATTCTGGACCCATTCCCTGATTAAGTCAAAACGTACACTTTATAGTGAGCCACCCAGCTCATTCGCAAGAGACCTCTCGCCCTGTCTGTACAGAATGTAATAAATCCTCTGTTAAGTTTGCCATCCTACTCCTGAGTGCACATGCGTTTTTTTTTCTGTCTCTCTACACCCCCTTTCTTGCCCCTATTTCTCCACCCCCAGTGCTGGGCAGCAAACCGGATGCCAAGATCTGGTTGATCCCCCAGCCTTCCTTTCTCTCTCTTGCCATCTTACTGCCTTGGCATCTTCATCCCGGGAATCCAATGTCTTAAAAGGCCGGTACAAACAGATAAGTTAAACAATAAAACAGACGGTTAATATTTTCTGCAGCATGTTCAGACGCTGCATATAGGTGGTCATCCTCGAAAATTATCAACTATAACACCACGGACAGGTGCTGATATACCCTGAGTAGGTTCGAGCATGTATTATGCTTCGACGCTTTTAATCTTCATTAAACTTCTCCCTTTCGATTTCATCCTTCGGGGTTTTGTGTAGTTCTTCATCTAACGCCTAACCTCCCTGTCCTTCCTCATTTATTCCTCCTCCTCCCTTCATCTAACGCGCTGCATTCGTGCTGCACTGCTACCACTTCATTTCTTCTTTATATACGCCCTGTTTCGGGCACAATTATAGGCTGCCATCTTGGACTGATAATGAAGCCGTTTTTCATCCGTATGAATATTCGAATTGTGCTATGGCGAACTCGCACGCATCAAAACGCTGGGCCATTACATTCAACGTCGTATCACCATAATCATAGCTAATTACGACACAAAAAAACAGCAAAAATTGCTTTTGAGCCTAAGATGGCAGTGTCTATGCTTTACTGTAACTGTTACAATTATTTTTTGTCAATTTGTCCAATATGTCATTTCATGCAGCGGCCGCCGAACTCGTTCCGCTGTTCATAGTGGTACTCTCGGCCTCTGAAGCTGGATGAAGATAACTAAGAAGCCTGGTTTTTACTGGCTACATAAAATGTGAAACGACGCTATAAATCAAGATGAAAAAAAAGACAAATCTATGAAAAGTCCGTACTGGCGCATAAATGGCGCGCCGATTGCGCCGATGAAAAACGTCGGCGGCGGCGGCGCGCCGGTCAGTTCGCGTCGGCGGCGGCGGCGCGGTGAAAACTATTGGCGGCGGCGCGCCGACCAGTCGGCGCACACCTCTACTCCTAGCCCGCGCTCAGCACACTAGCCAGTATATTTCTAGACACTGTACCCACACGTAACCTTTTTCCTTCCTCCGTGCACGTACCCATACCCAACCGGAATGCCTTTTAGTTGGCAACTTGGCGCCACGGTTCAAGCCGCGCGAAGGTCACACTAACACGGAGGAAGGAAAAATGTATCACACTAAAGTCCCTGAAAAATTAACTAAAGTAGCGCTAGAGTGTACTAGAAGCTTCAGTAGCGCTAGAGTGTCAATGTGCAGATTCCTCTCCCCTCGCGTGCATTGCAGATTGTAAAGGACGCTAGTTGAGGGGCTGGATGGCTCCTGGCCGCAAAGATGAGCTTGTGCTCATGTTTCCGTTGAAGCGCATCTGGGCGCTGCGGTTCTAGGCGATGCACCAAAAAAGTGATTGAGAAAGAAAAAAAATATATAAAATAACATTAAATACGACGATGTGACGTGTATATAAGCAAGTGGCATGCAGTGGCAAAAGACATCACCGCAAGCACGCAATACTCAACGCGATAGCCCACCGTTTGCATGCAGACGCGCTCAGCGGTGACGCTCTCGATGGCAGCGCCATTGCTGTCCGTGTAATAAACTCGGCGGTGCTAAGAATCTGCAGCATGACGCACTAGCCTTTGTGCAGGTATCGCAAACGCCATTTCGTTTGTCCACTTTCGCGGTGTTTGTTTGTGGCTAGGCGTGCGCGCTTGGTATTGTTGTGTAGCCGGAGTTCGACCGCGCATGAGTGTGTGCACGGTAATCCTGCACGTTTCGGGATGCTGACCTGCTGTGCCAGCGGTTGCAAAAGCAGGTACAGCAGAGGAAAGAAGCTATTTCGCTTCCGCGAGGAAAAGAATGCCGCTCGGCTAGAAGTGTGGCTCCAGCGTATCGGAAGGACTGACTTGGACCCTGTACCGTCGCGGCTTTGTGAGGTGAGTACCGGCGAGCTAAACTCTATCGTTTCGCTTGTATTCGTGTTTACAGTGTTGCGGTACTGTCAAGCTCGAGCATCACACAAAGAGAGTAACCGCGTCGGTGGTAAACGTGCATGCCAGTTGATACGCGTGCCGCGTTTAGTGCCGTGTAAACGTTGCGTCTCTGGCTTGATCCATGCCGACCGCGGCGGCTGCATTTTCGATTGAAGCGGAAATGTTGGGGCCTGTGTACTTAGCATTATATGCACGTTATTGAATACCAGGTAGTCAAAATTTCCGGAGCCCCCCAAAAGGGCGTCCCTCATAACCAAATTGTGGTTTTGGAACGTTAAACGCCAGATATTATTATTACTTTATTATTATTATTACTCGTTTGATCCAGAAATAATCGTCGACTATGTTACAAAGTAAATGTAATGGATACATTCAAGTGCTAAACTAAACTTTGTTTATTGGCCGACGTATAGTTAAATGACTCCCGCGTGTATGTGTGTATGGGTGTAAGGACTCTATGTATAAAGGCGTGGGCAGCGACCTGAATGTCGCATCATTTCGTTTAAGCATGTGCTCCAGCGCGCTCAGTATTCAGAAGCTCTGTGGTTGAAATAAGGACACGCAAGGCTAAATGGTGCGTATTTCTACATACTGCAGGCACCGTGTGCTAGTCTGGTGGGAAAAGAATGTGGCAAACAGTGCGTAGTCGTGTACGTGTTGACACTAAAAGGTTATTTTAGTTTCTTTTAGAGCGTGCTGTTTCATTGTGTAACAGTAGCCGCGAATATTTCCTTACCTAGGACCACTTCACTGCGGACCAATTTGAGTCGATACTGCTGCGCAAGTTTGGTACTAAAGAGTTGAAGAGAGATGCGGCGCCTACGATCTTCAGTCAAGAGCATTTGCAAACGTCAGGTAAGCCAATCGCGTTAAAAAACTGGAGAATGTTTAGTCCGTCTTCATTGTTTTCTGCATCACCCATAATTACTTTGCAGCCTTTCACTAACCTGAAACATGTCTTGCATATAGGTGTTGTGCACTGTTTGTGTATAGCTAATGGCTTTTCTTTGGTATAATTAATGCATTTTTTTTTTCATTCTCCAGAATGCGATAATTCAGCCCGCTCATCTTGTGGCCTTAATCTACTACTAACAGCAGCTGCTCTTGTTGATGGTGAGTTGACAGTTAAGCACATCTCACGCCTTTTCCCTCTTCGTTATCATTAATACATGTTTGAATTATGCAGAATCCAAAGAGACACACTGCCCATCAGCTACGAATGTGCTTCTGATACCAGCTGCTGTTGATGGTGAGTTCTTACTGCATTTATTACTTACCGTAATTACAAATGTGCTTTATGCCTTCATTGATGTTTTATAATTTGTAGGCTATGGATCCAACAGTGATGCCACTCAAGCAGGGTTAGGTTCTTCACAAGGTAACGTAGCTAACACACATGCTGCATGTAGTCGAAGCATTGTAACGGCTTGTAACTTGTATCCATTGGTTTATATATTTTACAATCATGTCTGTAGGGGTGTGCTGCAGATCCACAACATTTTGCTCCGCAGTATGGTGTTCAGCACATTGCAAGCATTGAAAGCATTGTCGCTTGGGTTTTGGCATGCATTCTTATTACTGAAAAATTGTAATGCACCTGTGCGTATTGTAAATGCTTCAAGTAGTGTTAATGCTTGTTTGCCAAAATGTGATGTAACAGAGATGATGGTCTTCTTCAATTTGTCTTTATCTTTTTTAGGTCACACTGCCACTGATTCAGCACCATCGGATTTTCCAGAAGGTAATGGCAGTGACATGTTGCTTTGAAATTTCACATAATTTATTGTTGATCTCATGTTGCAGATGCACCTTCAAGTTCCGAATGTGACGCACTGCCAGCTTGTTCAACAACTTGTTCAGCAGGTGAGTGCTACTTTTCATGATTTGTATAGGCATGTGTCTGCCAGATGGTTTTGTTGGTTCCAACTATCATATGTGCGCAGGTGTGGAAACCACCCATGAATCGAGCTGCCAGCCATTTCAAGTTTTGACGGTGCCTGTTGAGTGTGAGTGAAATTTCTGTTCAGTATCATATACCGTATTTACTCGATTCTACCGCGCCCTCGATTGTAACGCGCACCCGATTTCCACCGCGAAAAAAAAAAAAAACGTAAAACATCGATTGCAACGCGCACCCATTTCTCTCGCTGGCCCGCACGATCACACCACTCGAAAAAACGACTCCTTTCGGGAGCGTCTTCCATTTAAATATGTGGTACGGGCGAAGCTTGTGCCCATCTGACGTGTAACAGACCATTGCCGTCACTGTCGTTTTACCGTGGACCGATGTCAGCACGCGAACTTGCTTCGCCCCCTTCTTCTCGACGGTTGTGGTGCCAGGCATCTCGAAGTAAAGAGGCGTCTGATCGGCATTCCCGATTTGCCCAAGCAGGTAGCCGTTGTTGCGCCGCAAGTTTAGGACGAACCTCTGAAAACTGTGAAGCTTCTCATCGTACTCATCCGCAAAACTTCTCGCATATGCATGTTCCCCTTTTGAGGGAAAAGCCTTTCCTCTTCATAAAGTTAGTTAGCCAGCACCTGCTCGCTTTAAACTGGCTCCGCATCGGACCTTTTTCTAAGACTAACTGCATAGCCCGCACTTGAAGCAGTTCTGTCGTCACGGGCCGCTGTGCGACTCGCTGCTCAAGCACATACTCGCCGAGCAGCTCTTTAATGTGCGGAAACCGACCCTGATGCGGTTCACTGAAGCCTTTGCGTGAAGCTTTGCTGTCGACAATCTTCTGCTTTTGTTTCCGCCGGTCCCGCACGCACGTTTCGGGAACGACCGCGATGCGGCCCGATTTCCGTCCGTTTCTGCACACGCGATGACTTTTCTTTTAAAAGCGGCATCGTGGTGCACTCGAGTTTTTAGAATCGGCCCTTCCACGCCGTCGATGCTAATGCACTACTAGATGACGAACTCCTCAGCACACGTACGAAGTGCCGCACATGGGAAACACATAGGCAGAAATGGCCGACGCGCCATGCCGACGCACGTAGGGGGCGGCCATTTTGGATTTGCGATGGCAATAGATTGACCATAATTTTTTTGTTCGTGCTCGATTCTAACGCGCATGCGATTTATGAACTCGCTTAACCGGAAAAAAGGTGCGCGTTAGATTCGAGTAATTACGGTACATTTTTTAATTTAAGTCACTGGCCATCCCTCATTGCCTGTGCTGCAACTGTGCTAATTTAAAGCTTTGATGACTGTACCGGTTTTGAGTACTACTAATAAGATTATCCGTCATTTACAGCTCAGCAGAACTTTTGTGCTGCCTGTGGAAGATTTCTGTCTGCTGAGGGCACAGCTGATGTCACCAGTAAGTGTTCAGTGCTACTGCTCTCACACACTATGCAATATACACTTGAGTGTGACACATCGCCGCCTACAGGAAATTACGTGCACGCTCATAACAGATTGATATATTGGTGCATTTAATAGTGCAGATGCGCTCCAAGTACTGGTGCCCTGTTTTGTTTCTTTTGCTGGTATGCTCATTCTTGTAAAGCGAGAGTAGTCGCACACAACGTAAGTTTATTGGAGGAACATGTAAGCTGTGTTTTGTGTACAGTAATGCATAGCACACTGCTACACACTGCGCAACATCATCACACTATCACTTGTGACACGCAATCAGCTGCCGTCTTGTAGCAACTCTGTCAAAAAAAGCTACAACAGTGGAACCATAGCACTCTCCCCACTTTGTTTGAAATAGCCACCGCCATTGATAACCCTACGTCATAACCGAGAGTACGTGCCATATATTCATGTCTTTACTCATTACTAACTATTGGCATAGCTAGGAGGTGGTACACCGGACACTTGCTGCTCCCAAAATGTCTTTCTGCCTTCACACGCAGAGTACAAAGTGAGACGTGACCACACTTGACTGTCCTGCCCCCATTTCAGATCAAGGACACGCCCCCACCAAAAAAAAATAGTTCAGCTGCATGCATTGCCGGTTCTGCGCAGCTCCATTTGTCCCTCTTCATTGAGCAACAGTGTCAGCTTATGCTGTTCGTTAAAACCACTGTTGTGTTCTCAAAAAGTTACTCTTACACTTTTCTGCTGAATAATATGGAGTGGCACTGATTTTTTTGTCTCTTTAAATCCTTATGGTTCTCCCTCACATGCTAGTCTGGGTTAAATGGTGAAATTTTTCAAACTCTTGTCACTTTCTGCTCAATCTGTGCTTTGCAGGCTCCCGTTCAAGTAGTTGGGATGCTGATCAAGCAGTAGTAGCTGCCCTTCACAAAAGAATAGCTACATTGGAAGAGTGCTTGAACAACATGAAGCGGAAAGTTGCTACACTGCAACAACAGAAAAGCAGAGCAAACCGTAGAAACCATGAACTCACGCGAAACATCAAGAAGTACCTGTCACCAGATCAACTGCAAGGCATGTGGACTTCCAGTATGCGAGGGAAGCAATGGTCTACAGAGACTATACAAAAAGGCCTCAAGCTCCGTTTGGCATGTGGATCCAGAGGCTACAATGCGGTCAGGGAGCTTGCTGTACCCCTTCCGAGTGAAAGAACTTTACAACGTCGTGTTGAAAACTACAAGTTCTCACCAGGAATTCTACATGAGGTTCTGAAGTCTCTTGCTTTAAAGGTGAAAGGATGGTGTAGCTGAATATATTTGTTACATTTATTCTCGTGAGCATCTCTTTCAGCAGTACACCTTGAGCAAAAGGTGAAACCTTTTAGAGCCTTCCACTATGGCATGTCTCATGATCGTATCATGGGTTTCGCACGTAAACCCTAATATTTATTAAGCTTTCATGTGTTGCTAGTGCCAATGTTAGTGCCTGTCACTGCGCTTTTTGTCGTGCACGTTTTAGCGGCCATTCATAAAGTTTCGACAACATATTCTCACCTTTCCTTCACTTATGACTTGAGGTCCTCTAACTAGGCACAATTCCACATAAATTTCAATAGGTGATAATCTTCTTGCATGCAAACATCGAAATACAGCTTGCACTGTGCACTGCCTGTTTATTCTCGAAAAGCATTGTATTTTAAATGTCTTTATTAATGCCTTTGTTGCCTAATGCATGTTGCATATTTCAGATAACCACCATGAAGGAGCATGAGAGGCATGCAGTTCTGATGCTCGATGAAATTCAGTTGAGCTCAGGGCTTGCGTTTGACCAAACGACTGGCACTGTTATTGGAAGGCCAACTTTACCTTTGGCCAACGGTTCTCTGCCACATGCTGCAGTGGCAACGCATGGACTTGTTTTCATGCTGGGTAGGGTTACACAAAGATGGAAGCAGACAGTTGCTTATCATCTTACTGGAAACTCGTTCAGCAGTGCTGCAGTTCAAGAACAGTTGATTGAAATTATTCAGGAATGTGAAACAATCGGGGTTCGTATAGATGCAGTCGTTAGCGACATGGGTGGTGGGAATATGGCGCTCTGGAGAGAATTTGGCATAGTTGTGGGAAAGCATTCTGTGTCAAGAGCTTTTTGTTGTCATCCTGTTGACCAAAATCACAAGCTTTATTTTATGGCAGACACCGCACATTTGCTAAAGAACTTGAGGAACCACCTCACACGTGGTCAATCGATTTTCCTTCCCGAAAATGTGGTCGAAAAGCACAAGCTGCCTTCGAATGAGGTTAACCTTGTGCCGATTCAGAAGCTGGTAGAAATAGACTCTGAACTGCAATTACACATAACACCGCATTTGAAACCATCCTTCTTGGACCCAGGACACTATGAGAAAATGAAAGTGGGGCCTGCATTTTCGTTGCTAAATCACGATACTGCAGCTGCACTAAGTTTCCTGGTCCAAAGGGGAGATTTGCCCCAAGAAGCGTTGACAACGGCATGGTTCATAGAAACCATTTATAAGTGGTTCAAAGTACTGACATTACGTACAACGAAGCTTGGCATCAGCAAGTTAAATGATCAGATATATGAGGACTCACTGATTTTTTTAAAGGATATGGTAACTCTTTACAGATCTGAAGATAGGCTCTCTATCGAAACACGTGTGGAATGCTGTGCAGACGGGCATAATTTTATTGTGTAAAGTTGCATTGGAACTGCAGCATTATTATCTTAATGAGAAGGGCTTCTTTTTTGTTTTGCTCAGCCGATTTGCCCAAGATGCTCTTGAGAATTTGTTCTCCACACTGAGGGCGAAGAATGCAGTACCAAAAGCTCTTCAATTTCGTAGTGCTATTCGAGCTGCTACTTTGGCACAGTTCTTTCGGCCCAGTAGAAGTGGAAGCTATGCTATCGACGATGCTCCTTCCCTGGTTGGCATCGAAAATTGCCACGCAAGAGCTCCTAACAGCAATGATACAGAAGCTGTTGAATATCCCAGTGATCGTCTCGACATAAGCATGGGTCTTATTTACCTTGCTGGGTTTGTGGTATAGAGTGTTGCAAAGCACACAGGGATTTGTGAGCAGTGCAAAACTGCCACAGTGTCGAACGAAGCTAGTGTGCCCTTACACAAAGACAAACTGCAATAAAATAATAAAAATACAGCGACTTGGTGCGAGATTTATTTTTAATAAATATCGCCGACATCATTCTCCTACTGAACTCTGTAAAAAAGCTGGACTGGATAGTCCTGAACTTAGGACGAGGATTGAGCGTCTGAAATTCCTCTTCCAGTTAATTCATAATCATTTTAAACTAAACTATTCAGATTACTTCCAGGTCAACACACAAGAACACTCCAGACATCGCCATAATATGTATATACCACCCCTAGTCCCACGTAACGATTGCTTTAAGTTCAGTTACTTTCCACGTGCTATTGAAGATTGGAATATGCTGCCAGAGTCTATAATTGGTTGTTCCTCGCTTACATCATTTGAACAGAATCTAAAACGTTTATTTTCCGAATAACAGTGACATATGTGTTTTTTTTTTTGGCGTGTGTGTGTACTTTTTGTTGGTTGCATGATTCTGCAGTAGTTGTCTTTCAAATCTTCAGCGCGGTGCAAAAGTGCCGCCTCAAATGCATCATGTGCTGTTCTGCGCGTATGTATTGCATCGCATGTGTGTTCCATTTATATATGTTATGTATAACTTCGAGTTGCTGGTCACAATAATACCGAGAAATTATCTCGAGACCTGTACGGTACATCTTTTTTGCAAATAATTGTTTGTACTTCCACCCTGTAACGGCCCACTTCTGGGCTAACAGTATAAATAAATGAAATGAAATGAAATGCTCACAAAGTTAAAATCCTACACTGATGACAGCAAGCTCGTATCACCAGGGCCAGCAGTACTTCATTTGCTCGAAACAGCTGAGAATATGTTTAGAGTGAATAGCTACAAACTTCTGTGCAATGAAGTTATGATTGGTCAACTTGTGGCCACCACTAATGACAGTGTGCAAGCTGTCAATTGTTTTCCACCTTGCCAGAACATTCAGGAGAGGTTGCTGAGAGCATTTTTTAAAACCAGAATTAACATTCTTCTGCGGAAAGAGAATATGCGTTTGGCAGCTGATGAAGCTAAAGATGCAAAACTGGTAGTCGTAGCATTGGAAAGCAGGCTGCTACAACCAATGTAAAATTGTGTGTATGCCTCATTTCTTTCGTGTTTTCCTTCCATTTTTTCTATGATGCATATGTGCTATGGCCTCTTAACCTAGTCTGTAGGTACAGTACTCACGGATTGAAATGCAGGAATTATGGTCTCAGTAACGCACATACTTTTGTTGACACTGCATTAAGTTCGGGTCATATTGGCGTAATTTCAAATAGAACATGTATATCAGAGCCAAAATTATTCTTAGAGACTATATTTATCACGACATGACGTGCTTATTTCGAGCAGGTGTGCATACCAGTTATCCCCGAAAAATTGATGTTGCGTTTGAATCCCAAAGTACCGTACATGAGGAACTGCAGTGTTTTGTCCTATTGTGATTTCATTTCAACAGTAATTACTTATCATTGATGCGCACAGTTCAGAGCAGATGTTTTCTGTTGCAGTCATAGTGTCATTGAAATTTCTAACACGTTTGCCCTGTTTGTTTTAATGTGTACATTTTGGTCCTTTATAAGCAGTTCCCTTTAAGTAGCTTGGGTGGTGTCTGGATCTTATTTACGTTGTAATTCTGTGTGACTAGAGTTCTTGATGAGAAGCTTTGTTAACTTAGCTAAGCCTATTTTTAATATTCTGTGTCAAGTGTCCCTGTTTTTCATTATGTTTCTCGTCACTCGGGAAATTTCGCTTACTTTTTGCCTTGGTGGTTTACTGCCTTAAATTTCTGCTTCAGATGTCAGTGTAGTAATGGTTTTATCATTGCCTCTGTGTCTGTTTTCTCGTTTTTCTTCTCTTTGCTTTGCATTTCTTGCCAAACGCAATTCTAAGCTCTTGTATTTTTATTTTGACTTCTGCTAGGTTGGCCTGTGGCTGATTTTCCTCTTGTTGTTTTGAGGCTGAAGCTATTGTTGCCCTATGATTTTACAGCTTTGCACTTGTTGTTGAGGGCAATTATAAGCTCGTGTGTTTTTATTCCAACTACATCTGGGTTGGCCTCTATTTTAGTGGCTAATTTCGCTCTTCTTCTCTTCAGATAGAGCTGTTGTTACCCTTACTAGTCTATGATTAGGTCCGTGGTTTTGCTGTGCCTATTACATCTGTTTTATCATGTCTTTTACGCGTATGTCCTGTTTCATGCCTATATATCTGCATAATATGTTTTGCATATCCCCAGTAGGGGCTTTACATGTCTACTTCCTATTCCTGTGCTTTCAAAAGTTCAAAATGTGTACTTCATTTCATTCGCTAAATTCCACATGTGGAGTGTTAATCTTGATAAAGGTAGGTGTTTGGCACAAATTGCGTCCACTTGTCGCTAGTTGTGAGTGCACCACGAATGCCATCGCTTTTCTTTACTCTTGTCATTGTGATGTGCACGTATAGCAACAAGTCACTGATAACACATATTTCATGTTATTTATTGTGTACACTGCATAATTATCATGTATGATTGAGGCAGTCCTGCATTTTCATGAAATGTTGAATAAATGTCATGTTTTGTGCCCTTCATTCAGTTTTTGCATAGAATCAACTGTACTTGAACTTTGGTGTTTATCAATAAAGTGACATTATGGAATGGGGTTTCTTGATGAATACCAGGCCCTTTTGTTCGCTCGACATATTGCATGCTATTATGATGCCATATGCATAAACATGTCATGCCATGAACATCCCAAGTATACGTGTGTACTCAATGCTGCCTTCCCAGACGCAGTCATTCTTATGTATTCATGCCAGGGAAGACCGAGGTGTGATGGATGTTGAGTGGCCTAGAGCCGGTATGTAAGTGTAAAACATTATTCTAAGAGATGTATTCTGCTTAAACAATGGGGACAATCATATGTGCAAAGAAGGAACTTCATGTAACACTGGACACAAACGGTATGGACCTCACCAGAACACAGAGGAGAAACATTATGCACATTATCGCACTACCCCAACCTCTGTCCTTGTGAAATGCGAGCTGTTCGTACCTTATAATAATAAAGTAGCTCGAGATGCATTATTCTTTATGGAGCAAGCTACGCTTACTCATTTTTATTGATTGTACTTTAACACACTTATTAAAAGAATAAAGGCATGGACGAGAACATAGGTAAAAAGTTTCATTGGACACATGCTGGACTAACAACTGCAAGTCTCCAATTGAAATATGTTTTACAGCAATCGCGAATGTTAGTATGGTCGGGCTGCATGCACCCCTTATATGCAGATTTTTAGGTCCTGTCGAGGAGGTTGAACTTTCAAACACGTTGGCAGATAGAAGAGAAATGCAGGGAAAAAGGACAAAGTTCAGTCTTCATATATGTTTTATTTGTTGGGTTGCGCATTCAGCTGCTGGAGAGAGATGCTAAAAAGCACTATGCATGCGCGAACGCTACCTTTTTTTGTATTCTTCAGATAGTATTGTT